TTTTTTTAGGTTTTTTTTTGTAACGTAATCTTTGTTTTTTATGGTCGATTTTTTCACAATTTTTATACCAGTTTTAGTTTTATTTCTTATTTTTTCCATTATGTATTTATGTTCGTATTATTTAAGACGAGAACCAAATCAATTTACAAGCAAGACAACTGAATGTATTATTCTTTTAGGTTCAAACATAATAATATTTAAATAGCAGTAATAGGTTTGCACGCATGAAACAGGGAACGCTCCTGATACTGCGATATAGTAATAAATCCACAGTAATGCGCATGCACTTGAAAACTTTGTACCTATCACTGCGTAAGAAAAATAAAATTGAAAATAAATGCAAATTAAATTCTTGCCTATTATAACATTGAAATAAATTATTACTTCACTTAAAGAAATAACAAATATAGATTTTAATGAAAGAAAAAAAGGCTTTACACAGATATCTCGTCTTGGCTATAATTTGCAATAAAACGGTATTATTTTTACCCGAAACTATCTGATCATTTTCAAAATTATATAATAAATCCAATAGTTTCACCAGGCGCTATATTGCTGTTACATTTTATTCTATAAGTATTTAAGTCATTGCCAGTTTTTTTTAAGTTTTAAATTATCATGGATCATTATTTTATATTATAATGAAAAAAAATAGCAGTAATATCCCCACTTACCCTACATCTAAGTGAATATATTGTTAAGGTGACATTTCATTACGTTTTTATGGTTGCAACAATTAACTTTTTTCCAGGGTAGATTCCACTTATTAGATAATTAACATTATTGACAGCTGAGATCAATATAATATGGTTGTTAATAACTTTATATAACTATAGACAATTATGTATTGTTTTAACAAATTTAATTTGTTATAAACTTTATGTGATTAAATAATTGTATATTGTTTATTACAGTGGAAACTTTTTATAAACAAAAAAAAAATGACAAAATTACGGATTTAAATTCATGAGAAGTTCTTCGTCAGGACACAAAGTAAAACCAAACCTTGTTTTTTTATGCACTGAGCGATTTTAGTGATCGACAACTAAAAATATGCAACACTGTATGAGTATGTAGTAACAAAGTCTTACTGATTAAGTAAATAAAAAGATTATAATTAACTGGCTATAACAATATAAAATTGTTATAAATAATGAAAAAAAAAGTTTTCTAGGTGTTGCGTATTGATTCTGACGGAGTTTTTCCGGCATCATGAGTAAATAAATGTTTTGAATGAAAAACAAAGTTACTATAAATCTTGTAAAATGTGCCCTGCTTTTATGTTTCATATGTGGCTTTAATATTCTGTGACAAATTTCTGTGAAATTTTTCATGTAAACATTAAAGTCCATTGTACTGTAACATCTAAACTGTTCTTGCAGAGTTTTTGTGACGTTTAGAGAAAAATAATCAAAACAAAATCGTTTTTTTGGTGCAAAGATAATTTGTTTTTTAACAATTTATTTAAGGTAGCAAATTTTGCCACACACTTAAATATAATTTTATCACGTTTTATTATTTGAAAATATGTCTTATTTTTCAGAATGAATATTCGGGTAAACGTTAGTTTAAGATGTTTCGACAATTATGATTGAAAATAAATCGAATGACTTTTACTATCGAAAAATAATTGGTTTAAATGTATAAATGGGCTAATTTTACTTTAAAACCCCCTTCAACCAAATTTTTATTATCTTAAAAATATGTTGAGATTACAGAGCAATGACGCGTGTCATGGAGCTATTGTCAACCACTAATATGCTATTAAAAAGGCACACGTCTGTAGTCTCCATCGGTAGAATGGATTTCATAATAGGATTTTCCTAGAAGCCCCTACAGAACTGGAAGTTGGATGTGCATATTTATAAATCAATCTGTAGATTATTGTAACGTGGTTAAATTCATAGCTATCACTATAAACATGTCATTGAATTAATTTTACGGACTCTCATAATTTGTGTCTGTAATCATGAATAATATATGTTTGTTTTTATGCGGCAAATTATTTTAAAAAAAATTCATTAGATACAAAAAAAAATTGACATAAATTTATAGTATATACAAGTACTTGCATAAAATGTTAGAGGGTGTGTCAATATAGAGAGAAGGCGTATCCATTTTCAACTTGCGCAGTGTCCCATGAAAATCATCATTGTTCAATAATATCAACATTTTTTTTTTGGGGAGCGCAAGATAAAGGAGGGTGAAACCAATTTCCCTTATCTCAACAAACCAGCCACATCATAAAGTGATTATTATTTTTATCGCATACAAATAGTATGGGATATCTTTTATCTATTTATTAAAAAAATGAATAAGACTTATGTAAGTTTATTATCATTAACTAAACAAAAAAAGGGATTGAAAATGTCGAAGTAATTATTTATTTTTTGATTTTTCTTATAATTCAGATTGTTTATCAGTTGGTGAGAAACTTTCTTTCATTCACTCTAAAAAAATCAAAAATTGTATTAATTTCATGTACACAGTGTGTGAACTGTTGTGCTCTGTGTAAAAGCAATGATTAAAATTTTTGGGTTTCAATGAGCACACAATTCTGTGTTAATATAACATTTAATGTTTGTGTTAAATGAAAATATTGACACAAATTTCGATTTTAAACAATAAAAATGTTAATAAATTATAAACAACACAGAAAACAACACAATCTTTGTGTAATGAAGAATAAATGTACAAAATTTCATTGTTATAATTCCCCAAAATTCTATTCTGATAATATTGTAATCATTACGATTTTTTTCTGTGTATTTTTAGCACAAAAATTGTGCTATACGTCAAAATCGATTTCGACGTGTATTAAACGCTTTTAAGCCTAAACTAATAAAAAAAACACTAACATAAAAAAGTGTTGAATTTACCAGTTAGTATTTTAAAGCTGGGCTGTAGACAAATCCCCCCCCCCTACCTCCAGAAAGTTACCAAGGAAAAGTTCTTGGCAGATTACGTCGTCAAAAATAAATGTTTTTTTTTCAATTTAGGTCCCAATCAAAAGTTTAATTCATTCTCCAGGGTAGGAAACTCGAATATTATGATTATAATTAGTTTATATAATTAAAAAAATTAACTGAAATATGAAGCTGTTTTCCACTAGAATTCTAAGATATCATGGTGGAAGTACCTGTCATGAACCCTTTACGGAAAATCATTTACTACACAATTATTATTGCACTCACACCCAAAAACTGTTTTCCACCCTTTACGCTACTTTTTTGCACATATATAAACTATTTTCACAGTATAAAAATAAATAAATAAAACATAATTTGCCAAGAACTATTCGAGTCGATTATTCACTCAATTTCACTCTTGTTTTTCTCAGTAGATGGCGCAGCACTGCTCTCTCACATAAATTTCTGCGCATGTGTCACGCATGAAGAAGTATGAGTGGAAGTAAGAAAGCCTCATGTTAGTAGAAAGAGAGAGATACACAACAATCGGCAGCGAGTTCCGGCAAGCTTTATCCCCACCCTCTGTGCCCAAGCCTGCAGCTTATGATTTATAAACATCAATTAACCAAGTATAAACGTATTAGCTCTGTGGTCAGAGTGCTAGACTTTTATTTTGCCGGACAGGGTTCGATCCCCGTCACGGCCAATTTTTTTTTTTTCTTTTATTTGTTAAAATTGTATATTATTACAATTTTTACATATTAAATAAACAATAAATAATATGCAATTTTTGTGAATTTTATTACTCTTCCAATCAAAAACGAAAGAGTAATAATAAATTTAAATAGTGTCGGACAACTTTTCTGCATATAGCTACATTAGTTGTAGAATTTTCTTTCAAACAATTATTAATTGTGAACAATAAAGTCAAAACCATCTGAAGTGAGTTCCGGCGCTTTGCTGGCGAGCTCTATCCCCACTCTTCGTACCCAAGTCTGCAGCTTATAATTAATAAACATGGACTTTTCGAATGAATGTATGCTAGCTCTGTGGTCAGAGCGTTAGACAGTTATTTTGTAGAGCAGGATTCAAATCCAGTCACGGCCAATTTTTTTTTTGTTCATTTGTTAAAATTACACATAATTATCATAATTACCTATTCATATTATTTTGAAATTGTTTTTTGAAATTTTTCCAAAAACTACATTTGTAGTTACCACTAATTCTCTTCATTAAAAAATGTAAATTGTATAAAACTTTAGAGAACAATTTGAAACTAATATGATCAGGTAATTATTGTAATTATGTGCAATTTAACGACATGAGAAAGAAAAAAAAAATAGGTCTGAGCACACTTTGTCTGTGCTAACACGAAAAACTTCCCATTAGTAATTGTTTATAATAAATTTAAATAGTTGTAATCAATGTTTGTTGAAACCATCCACATACATATGATATAAACGTTACTTATTCAATAAATACAATTTTTGATTGTTTATAACAAATTTATAATGTCTAGTCAATATCGACTTAATTTTCAAATGAAATTGATATTGCTTGGCTTAAAAGTATTTTAAAAAAGCTAATCTTTTCAATTTTCTTCTTAGTTATTTTGTTATAAAAAAAACGGCTCGATCGAATTCGTTCAAATTTCTTTCCGATCTTCTTTATAATATCTTTCGAATTAATTTTGGTTCAAGTTAATATCTTGATCCGTTCTTAAGATATCGAAAATGAAAAAAATGCCGACGTCCGTACATACATTCATACATACATACATATATACATACATACAAATATCTTGAAACGTGGAGATTTAATGAAAATTAATTAAGTGATGGCAGTGCAAAGTGTTGTATACGTAGGAACCGTTTGATAGACATTGCTTTTCTTGCTAGTCAAATGGAATGTAAAAAATGTGACAATCCTCTTTTTTTGAATTTTATACAGGAGAAATTTGAGTTTGGTTTGGTATCAACTTACAAAATTAAATGTAATGATTGTCTTTTTATTAATAACATATGTACATGAAGAAGGGTTTCCGGGAGAAAAAGTTCAAAAACACTTTTCGACATCAATTGTCGTGCAGCCATGGGTAGATCACGTATTAAAACTAATATCACCGATTTGAAACGTAATTCTTATTTTTTTTGTAGCATGCATTAATGCAGGATTTGGTCATGACCCGTTGATAAGGTTCTTTGAATGCATGGATTTTCCACCTCCTCATCCACGAACTTTGAAATCTACTGAGAATGAGATGGGCCCAGGTTTTGTTATGGTAGCTACAGAAAGTTTTAAAAAAGCTATCGAAGAGGAAAAAGCACTTACGATTGTTGAGCTATCATTACCAGAGTATAGTATAAACACTATATTGCATTGATTAAAACTAAGTTTAAATTTTGAGATTGAAAATATTCCCACGAAATAAAGGAATTCATCTTTAAAACATTTTTCACTCATAAAAATGATGAATAAATTATTCTATTCTTTGCTCGAAAATAATTAATTTACTACTTTACTATTTAATTCTACTACTTATTGATTGCATTGTATCATACCATGCTTATTTTCACTTGCATCATGTTTTTGAATGTTTTCTTTTGCATGTCATTTATAGAGATCAACACGTAGACAAACATTACTTATTTATCAATTTCATATGATTTTGGCTGGAACAAAGTAGGATTGACGCGTAAAAGTGGTTGAGGTTCCGTTATTGGTGTTTTCTCCAAAAAAATTTTAGCTGCAGATGCATTTACCACTGGCTGTGGTATGTGTGAACGAGGACATGATCAATCTGATCATGAATGCTGTAGTAATTGGTCTGGCAGTTTAAAAGCTATGGAAGCTGCTATGGGTGTACGGTTTATGCTGGAAAATGATCTATTTAAGGAAGCCAGGGTTCAAGTTGGAACATTTATTGGCGACGATGATGCTTGTACTTATTCAGCAGTACAAAGACAGGCATCTCATAACATACTGAAATTATCCGATGCAAACCATGTTCGAAAGAAGTTTGGGTCTGATTTATATGAACTTAATTCAACTTACAAAGAACTAAATGGTCCTGTTATACCTCATTTGAAGAAATGTTTCAACTATGCATTGGATCAAAACCGGCATAACTCTGGAGATGCTCGAAAAGCTCTATTAAATATCGTCAACCATGTTTATGGTGAGCACAAGAACTGTGGAGATTGGTGTAAAGCCAAAGATAATCCTCAGTATGTATAAAAAAATTTACCAAACGGGGAACCACTACAAAATAATAATCTAAAACAAGCTCTGAAGAAGTGTCTTGAAAATTTCAGCAAACGAATAACTCGTATTGCTCATGGTGGTTCATCACAACCCGATGAATCATTCAATCACATGGTTGCAATGAAATATCCAAAAAATCGGCACTATGCAGAGACAAATTCATATAAATATCGAACTTTAGCAGCTGTTTGTTTAAAAAATCTAGGTGCTTCTTATATGAATGAAGTTTTTTCTGCAGTTGGTTTAAAAGCAGGCGATAACATGAAAAAATATTTATCAAGAAGAAACACACTTCGTGAGAATAGAGCATTAATACAGAATTCTGTACGTTACAAACGTAAACGTTGTCAAAATAAATTGAAAAAAACACGTAAAACTTATTGTCAAGAGAAAAAAGAAGGAGTATCTTATCAGTCAGGCAATTTTAACATCCCTGAAGAAGTAGATGATGGTGATAATTATACAGCAGAAAGTCCAATGGTAATGGTAGATTTAGAAACAACAAGTTTTTATGCATCAGCTGATATACTTCAAATAGCAGCAATATGTAATAATCATCACTTTGTTAAATATATGTTTCCTCTTCAGCGTATTGATGACAAAGCAAGTGAAGTTAATGGTTTCACAATAATTGAAGGAAATCTATGTCAAAATAATGTGGTGGTTGCAACTACTCCTCCAGTTACAGTAGCCAAAGAATTCTTAAAGTTCTTAAAAGCATGTGGTCCAAGAGCTTTTTTAGTTGGTAAAATAAGATTTGATGCACCAATCATTCGATGGTTATCAAATTTAAATATGTTCTCAGATTTTCAGCAGCTTGTATATGGTTTTATCGATTCCACTCCTTTAATACGTCAATATTACAAGAATTATTGAAATTATTCAAAGTAGATCGAGTTCGATTAATAAGCAATGTTGTGACACTAAAAGATATTATAAAAAAACTAATCAACAGCAAAAATAAAAAACTATTGGTTCAATCATTACAACCTCTTAAGGATAGCGGTATTTCGAAATATATTGTCAATAAAATCGCGATTGCTAGTATTACATATGGAAAATTGAAAGAAATCTATAGAGATTCCAGTGATAAAGGTATAAGATTGTGTTTAAGCAAAAGTATTGCAACTGCTAAGGGAGAGATGAAACCTGTCGTCACTTCTTCTAAAAAAATAATTAATGAAATAACAGTAATTTTAAGTAATGAAACTCATTCAATAGATGTAGAAAGTGATGCGCATACGACAGAAGTAGAGAGTCCTTTAGATAACTTGCAGGAAGAAGATTTGCAAGAAGAAGAATGTGAGAGAGATTCTAAATCAGAAAGCCAAATACGCTGTGAATGTGTAAACTATGATTATGATTCAAATACTGATTATGATAGTGATAATTGATTTGATTTAACAAAACTTATTAATTCTTTTCTTAAACTGTGTATGTTTTTTCGTCATATAACTACACAATTTTTTTTCCTTTGATTTAAATTCGCTTATGTCGTTATATTTTATAGTAGTTTGCTTGTTGCACTTGTCACTAACCTAAATTCGTTAACTTTTTTAATTTTCAGAAGTATTTATAAAATTAATGTCAATAATTTATAAAGATATATGGAAATGTTAATTTTATACTTTTTTTACATTTTATCACATTCGTTGACTTCACTATGAAGAAATGTTTTTAACAATAATAACTAGGTATAATACAGAAAATAAATACATTAAATTAGAATTTTCACTTTATGTGTAATTATTTAAAATCAATATCCCACTATCTTTCAAAATTTATATGCATTTATACTATCTACCATACACAGCTTTTGAGTTTAGATAATTTGAATCCAGCGCGCGCGATGAAGCCACCATTTTTCCCTAGCAAATATGGTAGAGAAAAAGTGCGTTTATCGAGAAACAAAGACAGACAGTGAGTTGCAATGTTAAAACATAAATTTCAAAAGAATTATAAGGTGAATCATGCTGAAATTTAACTTAAATACATTTCAAGTACTATTCTTCATATTAAGATGTTTTTTACTGTGGGTCAACTGTGTCAATTTTTTATAAACCATCAATTTCCGGTGAAATTGAACAAGGACAGTCATAAGAGCCCATGTATTTTTGTATAACTTTAAATAATTATATCTCCTAAACAACGTGGTAGAAAAATCTCTTTTTTTTTCTCTCAACTCATGGAGGTATGGTCTCTCAGAAAAAATTAAAAAAAGGGGTAGTCAACTGTGAGTGTTGCCAATGCCAAACTACCTTAAAAAAATACAACAACCAATGTAGCTATATAAAAATTGATTAGGAAAAAAATAACAATGGATATTTAAAATTAATTTTAGCATCCGAAAATTGCAATTACATGCAATTTTAACAAAAAAAAAAATTTGTAAAAAATCTTTTCGTAACTGAGTTTGAACCCTGCTCGGCCAAATAAAATCTGGCACTCTAACCCCGGAGCTACTATATCTTTATACAAATTTTTCGTGTTTTTTAATTTTAAGCTGCTTACTCGCGTATGGAGTGTGGGTATCCAGCTTGTCGGCGATGTGCCGGAACTTGTCACAAATTCTTGTGAGTGCTCTTCATGTTTTATAACTGTTTGAAAAAACTGCTACCTCTTTTGAAGCAACATAAAAACGAGTTGTTTTAAACTTTTTAATAACTTTCGTACTCTTCCGCCATAAATTAGAAGGGTAATTAATGAAAAAAATTATTATTTAAAACTAATTTTGGCATTCTAAAATAACGCTTGTATATCATTAAAAAAAAAAAGAAAAAAAAAATTGGCTGTGATAGGGTTTGGACCCGGCTCGGCAAATTAGAAATCTAGTGCTCTGACTGTAGAGCTAATACATTAACTCTTCTACTGTTTATATTTCTAAGTTATAAGCTACTCGCTTGGGTACGAAGAGAGGGGATAGCTTGCCGGCGAAGTGCCAGAACTCGTTGCCGTTTGTTGTGTATCTTTTTCTTTTTACTAACTTTCTCACTTCCACTCCTACTTCTTTATACACGTCACATGCGCAGAAACTGAAATGGGTGAGATAAAGACGAACGATCGTGTGCTCTTTGTCATTTATCTCGGGGCCCTGAGTAATGTTGATACAAATTCCATCATTGACTACCTTAAATTGTTCTTGGCAAACTAAAAGTTATTTATTAGTTATTATTAACTCAAAATCATTTATTTATGGAAAAAAATAGCGACCAGGGTAGATGACAAAGTTATATGGTGTAAGTGCAATAATCAATGTGTAATAAATGTTTTATTTATTGGAGGCTTTTGACAGGTACGTCCGCCATGACACCTCAGATTCTAGTGAGAAATGGGTGTTGATCTTATTTCATTATTTTCATTGTGATAAATTATTTGTTTAAATAATATAAGTGCTGTTCACCTTGGAGTACAATTTCAGCTTTCGATTGAGACCTAAATAAAAAAAAAAACATTTATTTTTGAGACGTGGTTTGCCAAGATCTTTTTCCTAGTAATTTTCTAGGGAAAAATTTATGTACGGCCCACCTTTAATATAACTGTTATTCAGTGTACTCATATAAAGTAATAATATGTTAAATTAACTTATCCAGTATGTTAAATTATGCTGCACTAACAAAAATAATCAGAGCTTCATTACTTGGTTAATCAAGTCAAATTATTTGAGAAAATGTTACTCGAATTCTAGTAAAATTTAATTTAGAGGGTGAAACAGTTTCCCATACCATCTGACAAACAATATTAGAAGAAACTAACTGCGACAATTTTATATACATGGAAAGTTCAGTTTTTTTTTTCAATTTTTCCAATTATTTTGAATTTCATAGAATATTATTTTCTATAGTGAAGATATTACTTCTAGATGTCACAATCAGCGTTTCCTATAATCTCCAAACCATATATACGTAAAATAGGTGTTCAACATATATAAAATACAACAACAGTAGATTATACATCCAGGGACCTATACGGGCAATTATTATTTCGCGTAGATGACGTTACTCGAGTCACGTGGCGCATGCGTATCAGCCAAAAGCGAGTGCTAATGGCCGTATTCGTTCCTGATTTTGCGTGATCGAAGTGATTTTTTGACGCATGCGCAATAACTTTTTTTATAAAATACGCATGCTCGAAAATAATAATTATTATTATACTCCTGGTATACTTAGCCGCTTCTTGTGTTATACATAATTTGTCTTTTTATAATGTCTCATATAAATAAATTAGTTCAACACTATTTTTATAACCCGGATACAAAAACATTTTTTCCATATAACATTACTGAGGAGCAACAGAAACGAATGAAAGTAGGTAAGTGTCATTTAATAGCAATCCACTTGCCTAACCTCTAATCAGATTATGATGTTCAACATAAACATTAACTTCAAATTCGTTCAATTTCGTCAACATTACTATTTAATTCTTTGTTCATAATTTCATTGTAAAAGGTTATTTATTTTTCAGATAAAGAGTTTGCAAAAAGTGTATATGAGGAAATAAAAATGAAGATAGCAAGAAAAAATAACCAAAATGAAAATTCTGGTTGCTCGTCATCAGGACAACATATAGACGATGTTTCCATTGATAATTCACTTCCTGCCACTACAACTTGCACGAGGAATGATTTTGTCATTCCAAGTGAAATTTTTGAGCCATTTGATAATATGCCAAGTGAGTGTTCGACATCAAATCAGTATGTACATTCAACTTGCGATGAGGAATATGAAGTGAATTTTCTCCCATTATGTAGTGCAGAAAACAATAAATGCACCAACACCAATACATATTTACGTCAAGCTTCTAATATTGATGATAATCCTATCAAAGCTACTACATCGAAACGCAATAAGCCTTCTTCAGGAAAAGATAAATATTATTGGCAATACCATGATACAAAACTGCTCATTAGTAGTTACGCTCTTCACGCTCAGGAACAATACCATCCCGTACTAAGAAATCACTTTTGGGAAAATATAGTCAATGACCTTGTCAGTCACGGTCATAATGTTGATAAAGATTTATGTGCTAATAAATGGAATAATCTACTCAGAACTTACAAAACTTGCAAGGATAAATCAGGACGAGAGCCTCACAAGTTCGCTTTTTGGCAAGAAATGGATGAAGTTTTAGGAGATAAGCCAACCAATTCATCTTCATTCACATTGGGTTCTCTGAAAAAGGATTCTGCAGATCGTGAAAATGATAGTGCCTCGTTAAATGTGAGTATTGATAGCTTGAAGAAAACTGATTGTAAACAAACTAAAAAAATGGCCAAAGAAAAGGGGATGAAGAAAAGGAGAAAGAGTAATTATGAGTCAAATGAAAAAATTGAATTAATGAGAGAAAAAATGGCAATTGAACGTGAAAAGATTGCTTTCAAAAAATCATTTGCTAAAGATTTTTTTGCTTTAGAAAAAACAAAAACTACCTTAATGGGGAAATATTTTGATTTAAAGTCAAAAAAAGATTAAAAATCGATTGCCATTTTTAATTTCAACTATTCAAAGATCTCTAAAAAATCATAATATATGATGAAAAATATGTATTCTTTTATAAGTCATATCTCAATGTTTTTCTTCGTTTTAAAAAATTGAAAATTAAGTTAGATGAGCTAAGTGTTGAGTTGAAATGTTGTTGTGAGGTTAAAATGTTGCGTTCATTTGTTTCGATATCTTTTGTCTTCTTGCAGTAATATTCAATATTGCTCAGAAATAATAGTAAACAATATGTAGAGAAAGTTGAAGTTAATTTTCTAAAAAAATTCTATATTTATTCATGAGATGTATATTACTGTGTAAGGCATATATATTCAGTTAACTGTTTTATTTAAATATTGATATAAGATTGCAATATTGCATACAAAAACGAAGACTGATTATATATTGGAAGTTTAATATATTAAACTTTACAAGTATTTGTTAAAATAATGATGTAGATATAATGGCATCTCGTATAACAAATAAAAGTTTATAAACATATTATTAAATGTGAATATTATCATTTGTACACCTGAGCATATTACATTTTAACATTTTGTCAAGCACCTGATACAAAAATTTTATCATAGTACCCATGAATAAGAAGCTAATCTACAACAGGTAAAATATAAACAGTCTTTCATTCTGATTAGATTATTGTTAATGAAATATCCTACATTTGCTACTACAACACTGACTGCTACTGCTTCCACTGCTTATTACATTCTTTCGTGGCTTTCACTGCTTGTTTCACTGGATTCACTACTTCCTCCATTACTTTCATCACTTATTTCACTATCTGATGTATCATCTTCTATTGGATCATCATGTAATATACATATATTATGTAAAATACATGAGGCCATAACACATTTTACGATAATATCAACTCTCAAATTATCGAAGCGAATTAATCGTCGAAATCTTGCTCTTAGAAGACCAAAAGCCTGTTCTATTACGATGCGAGTTGATGAGTGTCGATAATTAAATTGACGTTGTCCAGGTGTGAGATGTCCATTATCTCGGAAAGGAGTTATCATCCATGGTGTACTTGGGTAAGCAGTGTCTCCAAGTAAGAAGTATGTTCCAAAGAAGTTTGGATCTGTGAGAGCTTTTTCATATAAAGGAGATCGTCGGAATACTCGTGCGTCGTGCATGGATCCAGGTTCACCAATGTATACGTCTGTAAAGACCTTATCACTGTTTGCAACTGCTTGCAAAATAATGCTGTGATATCGTTTCCGATTATAATAATCTTCTTGATGATGTACTGGTCTTCTGATACGAACATGACATCCGTCTATTGCACCTATTATTTGAGTTATGTTTTGGAGATCAGAAAATTTTCGACTAACTTCTATTTTATCTGCTGCAGTTTCAGGCCATCGTATATATTCTTCAGATAAAGAAATTAGAAAATCCAGTGAACATAATAAAACCCTATGAGAGTCGCTTGGTGCAAAATCGAATAAATTTGATATTTCACGAAATGTTTCGATATTGGCTAGATACCACACGGTCATTAGCAGAGCTCGTTCATGAGTAATCCCACCGATTGGGAGATTTTGAAAAAAGTTAGTCTGCTCAAATCGTTCTGAAAAAAATAACAATGACGTTGAAAATTCTTGAAACTTCCACAAATTTCATTTTTTATAAATTTTCTGCGAGCATTCGCTTCATCACAAGTAATAAACTTATTGATTACCGATTAATTGATACAATGTTGATCGACGAAGCCTGAAGTGTTTCCGAAATTGTTTTTCATTGTACTGACGAACGGTGTTTTCGACAAAATTTCGAACGCACCTACGTGGAACTCGAATTCTATTGATACCTTCATCGTCTTCGGACGATTCTGATGATGATGAATCAGAAGAGAACAGAATATTATGAATATCAGGAAACGGAGCATCAAGTATCCAATCCTTTAAATTAAAAAAGAAATAGAGTTAGGGCGTACTTATGTAATTTCTAGTGATCATGAAAACAATAGTGTTAAATAGTAGCCTTCTCTTTTATTGAATATCTAACATAATTTATGGGTAATTTTTGTAGGATTAGCACGGGAAATAAGGAAGATTTTCTCTATTTGATAAAAGAAATGGTATAAATATTAAAAATTTATTTCCATTATTAAAAGAAACTACTTTCTTGTTTTTTACAATGAGTAAATTATTATAAAAATCCACCAACAATTTAAGTAAACCTTATTTTTCCTAAATTAGATAGTCAAACAATAAACAATTAATTAGTAAATTCATGTATGTATTATAATTGATTGTAATTCTAACCTGTACAATATCATCTATCATTTGGTCCATTTTCGGAGTAATATCCTGGGAAAAACGAGTTCACATATAATCAGGTCCGAGCAGGTCTGTTCACATTCAATAATCTTGATAAATTTTAGTTGAAATAATTAAAACACTTTCTGATCGCGATAATTTTTATTTAGATAAATATTCGAGAATAGAAAAATAAAATAATCCGATGAAATGAATACGAAGTAATATACATATATATTATACACATACATATAACATACATTTACATATATCATACATGTACATATAATGTCCGCGCATGTCAAGTAATTTTTTATCTAGGCGCATGCGTCAAAAAATCACTTTGATCACGCAAAATCAGGAACGAATACGGCCAATACGTGTGATTTCAGTGACGTCATTTCACTGAGATGATGATTGCCATTAGGTCCCGTGATGCATACGATCTTTTATATAAAAATAGGTTATGACAAGAGTAACTCATTCTAGCCGGAGAGGGGAGTCGAAGTAAACAATTAGTAATACGGTGGAAAGAACTACTGTACGGTTTTTGTAAACAAACAAAATTACATAATCGCATCGGAAGTGCAGTGATAAAAATATAATTAATAGTTAATAATAATCTATGAGTTTTGAACAAGATCAGATTATGTTGAAAAAATCGTTAAAAATTAAATTAAAAAAATTCCACTTTACAATTTCACTCCGAAAGTATTGAGACTTGAATATTATATGTCAAAATCATAATTAGAATTGAGATTATGATACATTCTAAATTTTGATGTTAATGAAAGTTTAAAATTTTTAACCCCACAGTTTTACCCCTGAATTTATCCTAATAATCACAAAGTTAAAATTTGAACTGAGACTATGTTACATGATTAAATCTCATAGAAATACACATTTGAAATTTTTACTCCACAATTTTAGCTTGAAATAATAGAGCTTAAGGCTGGGCTGAAGTCGTGGAGGTGACTGATTCCCCCTATCTAAACACGGAAGTAAGGGCATTGTAACATCTACCAGTATACCCGATCAAATTTTACAACGTGACGTAACACGGTGTCGCTTCGTTCATAAAATTGTGATAATTACATCTTTGAAATATGCGGTAATTATTACAACGCGAAATGATAAATCTTTCAATATAAATGAGTAAATAGTACATAAAATCATGATAGTTTCGCGATTGTAAAACTGCCCTAACTATCAATTATTACATAGCCACAATGTAATTTTTAAAGAAAACAGTCAAAAACATTACTGTCTAATGTTTTATTACTATCAAGTTTAAATGTAATATTTGTAAATATTATGCATAAAATCTATTTATATTTGATAAAAATTTTATATTAATTCAATAGAATTTATTTGGAGTTACGTGTCTAAAATTTTAATTAATAATTATAATTTTCGTCTTTTTATATAAATGAATATACAAATTTAAATTGTTATTATACAATTTTATTTATTCAATATTATATAAAATTACACTTTATAATTTTAAATTAAAAATCGTAGTTTTTTAATAATGTAGTATGAAATATAGTATTGCAAAACTAAAATCAATTATGTAAATTTATTAACAATCGTCATCAGTAATAATCAAAATTATCTTTTGCAAATAAAATCCTTATTATTTGGAAATCGCGTTATTGACGCAACACTATCTACCTCTGAGAAATTAACTATAGAATATTTTGTTGAATAATTATTTTCAACTACCTCGTAGACTTGATAATGATAACTGTAAAATGTTTTTTCTATAATTTTACAAACAAAAACGATTGATATTATTATTAATTATTAACATTTGATCAATAATATAGACATTTGGTTCAATTTCATCAGTGTAGACAACAGCTACTTCTCCACACGCAAATGAATTCCCTTGTATAAAAATTGTATTTTTTCATTGGCATCGTCCAAATCAGGTATCACACCTGAAATAATCACCAATTAATACATAAAAAACATTAATATTTAGCACTGCTTAACTGAGTAAATATTTTATTTACGTGTTTGTTCGACGTTGATCTGCTGAGTAATTAATTTTCATTTTGCAGCGTGGACGCGTCTCACATATGTATAGTGGTGCAATAATTTTCCTTGAGGCGGTATTCCATCTTGCAATTTTGTGTTTCGTATCCGAGGAACATAATAAACATCTTCTGCTTCTGTTGGAAATGTCTTGACAATTTCTTGAGCCAATTTCATATAAATATGAGGCTTTATTTCTGGTAGTTCCAGAAGTCCATCAGTTTCACGTTGAAGAATTAGTGCCACTAATTTGTTTTTGGATGAGTGATCCAACATTCGATAAGCATCATAGAGGACAAGGATATCTTGACCATGAACACTTTTGCTCAACCACTCACGTAGTGGAATTTCAACCGATGGTGATCGAAGATCTCCTTGATAGTTAGGATTATTCTGAAAATAAATTGCGTATTTTAAAATATTGTTTTCAATTCCATAGGGGTACAAAAAATGAAATGCAGGAAACAACAGAAGTAAAAATGTACACTTTCTGTAAAGATGAAATAGGAACTATGGTTCTTTGAGATGGATCAGGTAAAGATGGAATAGTAACAACACTTTGAGATGGACTGGGTGAAGTAGGATCAAAATTGATAGATTAGTAAATAACAACAACCTGTGATATCACAGATTGTAATGTATATGTTTTTAAAAGTACGAGTTATATATTCGTATTAAAGAAATAATGTCTCTTACCCGCAACAATTTCATTAATATATTCATGATAAACTTTGTTTTTTTAATTTATAAGTGTGAGCGGAACGAGTCACGAACTGTATTTGGAATAAACTGTAACGGTTTTCAGATATACTATATTACCTTAAGAAACTGTAATTTTCACATTCCCGGGAAAAATGAGTTCAGATATGTTTAGATTCAATCAGATCTGATCAGATCTTAAACATGAGACTAATTAAATCTGATCCAATCGAATTAGATCTAATTTGATTTGGAAAATTTTTTTTCTAAAATAGGGCTTTTTTTCCCCGAATCTGATCAGATCTGATTAGGTCTGAAAACTTATTATGAAATATTGCATGCTCGTCTTCTGAATCTGATCAGATCTAATTAGGCTTAAAAAATTTTTGGACATTCTACATTTCATTGAAGGATCGATTTTTAAATATAAAAATGAGATTTTTATTGCAATAAAAATTAATTTTTCAATTCTTACAAAATATTTACAATTAATACCTCAAATTATATTTACACTTAGTTGTTACATCACTTTATTGAAGCTGTTTGGACGTTTACATATAAAATTTAAAACTCTAATCACATGAATCATTGATCGAATATTGTTTGCTTCAATTACTCTGATATTATTCGTTTCATTTACAAGTAATATATGCAGAAGTATCGAGTTACTTTCCCGATGACGAAACATTTTTAAATCGTCGATATCAAAAATTCTCACAACATAGCTTATGTTTTCTTCGTTTTTCGTAAAACATACAATTGTTCCATAAATTACTTTATTGCTTGTATTTATTTCGACAGTATAACTATCTGTTTGCGTATTTTTATAACATTCTGATGTATGGAGATAATTATTTATGACTGCTCTTGCGAAAAAAGTGTATTCTCAATATTCAAATTCAAAGACTGAACAATCTCAAGTAATGTATCATTTTCACTTCGCAATAAATTTATATTGTCTTTCAGTATATAATTATGAGATTGATGTGACGAGGAATTTTCATCAACTACACTACGTTCGCACATGATTTTCAATGATTGAACACCTTGTGCGATTTTTAAATTATTGATCATTTCTTGGCCAAGATGTTTTGTGCCATGTACACATTTAGCAAGAATACCATTTACGTTTTCAAATGGGAATGCGGATGTACTCCACAGTGGACCCCAATGCTTAATACATAGTACTAAATGAAGCAATTGGTGTACATTATATGTATATTGCCGATCACCATACAATTCGTGAATATCTCTAACAAATAACTGTAATAGAATATCAGCTCGTTCTAATTCTGGATTTATATGAATAGGTTTTTCTAGTAGTGTCAATATTGCCATCACAAACAATAGCCAATGTTGCATATAACGATCTGGCAGAAATTCTGAGAAAATGGGAATAGAATAAAACAATACTAAATTATAAAATTCCGATGTTTTGTATTTAAAACTTGTTCCAGAATTCGAGTTAGAATTATTTGTTTATAAAATATTTTTCTTTATTGATGATGCAGAATCGTTACAGAATGATTTATGATTTTTGTTAATTGGATAATGAATAAGAAAATGGATTTTGTTTTAATAAATTAAGCATTAATTGATAATTGGTATTTAAATAATTAGTAAAGAAGAGCCTTCAACTCCAGTTTGTTTGTTTAATAATTTTGAATACTTTTGTGGGGTTCAACCGAGGATTATTGCCGGCCCTGACCCTCTCTCCACAACCCACATAACTGAGCTCCAACCTCAAATACACTGATTTTTATCTTATAAATGACTCTAAAACCCGAAGCAAAATCATCAATATCTCTTATAATTTAAACTATAACACTCTAAACTGAATTTATTAACTAACTAAATCACGAAAGCAAGCCAAGGGTGGAAGATTCCCTACATTTCATTATTCTACTTCTAAACTGTAACAAAACTACCAAAAATTACCAAATATCAGACTCAATACGACTTACAGGAGCTGCAGAGGATACTTAGGTGTCGTAAACTGGTCTCGACACGTTCCTGGATATTCTGGAACCTCCTCTATGCATCAGGGACCTCCCTGTAGTCTGCCATAACTCTACTTGATTGTTTCTTCCTCCTGGGCCTGTTCTCGTCTTCAACCTCCAATAACCCTCGCCATCTTCAATCTTCGAACTCCAATTTCTAACTGCTCCCTTCGATTACCAGAATCGAACTGCTCTCGTCGATCTCCAAAAACGAACTCTCTCTCTTCAAGCTCCAAACTACTTCTCTCTTTATCAAACTCCAAAATTGTACGCTCTGCATTCTTTATCCCCACTCCAATCTCACAATCAATCTTCTTATTTGCAGAACCACTTCTCCATTAGTAGCTTCATCACGCGATCTCTCCTAGATTTCATTGTGGAAGGGCGACTTAACCTAGGTGCTTCCTTGGAGGTGAGGTTGATCAGGCTTCCCCCACAAGGCCTGCAAACTTATACCTAATTCTTCAAACTAATTTCTCCACA